GCCGCGAATCGGCAATCCACCCCAAACAATCAAAGTGGCGCACTTAGGACAGGCGGCCGCCGATCGGCAACCCATCCGAAAAAAAAACAGCGCGCATGCGCCAGGCAAGCGCAACCAAGTCCACGTTCAGAGCCAACTGCCAGGCGCATGCCGCCACGCCTCCAAGGAACGGGCGCCCGGATCTCGCCGCCGGGCGCCCGTCGCCAAGTCTGGCGCGTCGTCGTCCGCGCCCCCGCGCGAGGTCAGGCTCAAACGCGCGCGCGCGTTTTGAAATGCGGCGCGGCACATACTTCTGCACATCATGCTCGCACAAGTGATGGCCCAACATTACCTGCGACAATAACGCGCGGTCAATGCCGCCCTTTGCGTGTCCATCAGCACTCATGTCAGGCGTGTCGCATCAATGTGCAAAATGCACGAGGTTCCTCTCCATCGTCTGTCGTGCCCAATGGGCGTGACCAAGCGGGCGCAGACAGCAGGCACCTTTGCGTCCTTGCTCGATAACTAGGAGACAGACTCGGCATCAACGGTGAGAGACACCTCCACGCAGAGGCTACATTTCTTCTAACACATGTTTGCAATCTGCTGGGGGTAATTTGTGCTCGGGAATCTGCCCTGGCCTGTCGATGGGCTGGCGCTGCGCACTTGCGCCGGTAGCTTGGGCTTGGTCTGGGCGAAAACGCTCGGGGTGAGCAGCGGGCGCAGCTCCCTCGCCAGCTTGCGGCTCCTGGGGTGGAGCGCCACCTTCGCCAGCTGCGTGAACTTGGCGACGCGCTCGAAGACCAGGTGGCGGGCTACGTCGGCGCTCGGACGCCTCTGCAAGCGCGCGCCACTGGGCAGCGCGAGGGAATTCTGCGCGAGCCACCTGCCCCTCGGCCTCGGCAGCTCGGGTCTCGCCCATCAGCCTGTCGCGGGGCGCGTGCTCTACGGCCTCGCGGCCCTCGTCCAGCCTCCTGAGCTCGCGCCCGCACTTGTCGACGACGTGCTGGGCTCCAGCTCGAAGCGCAGCGAAATCCCGCTCGTGGCCCGCCAACGTGAAGGCCTGGGCCACGACCTGGGTACGGAGTCCGGTCGCCTCCGTGCACTGCGTGCGGAGCTCGGAGACCGCAGAGACCTCCGCGCGCAGGCGAGACTCGGCTTGGCGCAGGCGGAGCGCCTGGCGGGACTCCGCGCGACGGGCAGCATGCTCAGCGTCCCGAGGCGATGCCTCTGCGCCCCAGGCGTCGGCGATTGCCCGGGGCGCCTCCGCCGCGAGCGAAGTGATAGCGGACGCGGACTCGGCACCCACATCGGCCTCGGCCTACCTTGCCGCCCGAATCGAAGACTCAGCCTGCCCTCTGGTCTCCCAGAGCTGTCCAAGATGGGCCAAGTTGGCCACGCTCAACCCATTGGCAGTGCGGTCGGCCAGCTCGTCATGCACGCAGCAGCCGGCAGCAATGAGCTTCTCGGCCTCCGTCTCCACGACGTCGCTGGTCCTCTGCCTCGCCGTGGCGAAAAAGTGCTGCTCTGCATTCGAGGGGCGCGCCGCGTACTCGGAGCGCATGGAGTCCTGCTGGGCCTCGGCGCGCATGAGCGCGCCGTCGAGCTCGCCCCTCATCTCAGCCTGCTCTGCCCGGACGATGTCGGCCGCCCGGGCGGTCATCGCCTCGGTGCGGACCGAAAGCGTCAGCGTCATCCGCGCCGCCAGCACCGCCTCGTGCGCCAGGGCCCTCCTCTACAACTCGCAAGGGCTCGCAGGGAGGGGCGGGAGGGCATCGGGCCTCCGGGGGCGGGCTCGGCCACCGCGGCGTCACGGCGCACACCCTGGTGGCGATCGCCACGCAGATGTCAGGCAGCGTCACGGGCCTGCCCGGCGTGGCCGCGGTCGCGGCTCCGGTCGAGGAGTGCTGGCTCCGCTTGTTGGGGTACCTATGAGCGCAGACGGGGAAACCCGCGCTCGGCCTGGCCGTTGGCCTGCGGCCCGTACGCCGACGCCCGCTCAAACTCGGCGGGAATTCGGACCGAGCGTGCGAAGGTCCGCGAGTGATCGTGTACAGGCACTTCTGGAAGATCGGTGGCCTGCCCAGCAACTTGATAAGATGCGTGCATGCGCTCAGTGTCCTCGCGGGTGGTGCCGAGCTCGAGATCGTCCGCCTCGTCCAGCCCCAGCCCCAGCCGCATCAACACTTCGGCTGATCACCTCAACAACCTGACCGGGTCTACTGGGTGTCACCGGTGTGGTCATGGGCTAGTGGCACACAAGAGCTACTCGCCACAGTCGGCTACAATGGCCTGCACAGGACCAACGGAGGCCAGCAACACTCAGTAGGGCTGGAGGGAAAGCTGTGTTTTACGTCACAAGGTTTTGCGGCAGGCCGAGGCGCAGCCAAAGGAGGGTGTTCGCTGACGTGGCCAGGAGACGGAGGAGATGGCGTCACCGCTGAGGCTCGCTCTTTCACTGAACGACGATGCGGACTGGAGGGCCCTGTTTCTCACGGCTCCGCAACTTGAGTCTTGAGCCAAAGTGCAGCGTCACGGCGATAGTTGGCATGAAATTGCTACCCCACTTAATGGGATTGTTAACCTGGAGTGCAAAGTACAATGCAACCCATATCTGGAGGCGGCGTTACCGCTGAGCATCCAATGGTCTTGAAACAGATGGCGGTGCTAGCCATCGTGTCTATGGGTCACCTCGCTGGAAAATAAGGAACAAATCAATCGAAATCCGGCGGCCAGGACTTGCACTAACGTGTCTGGGGGTCTGGCGGCCAGAAAGCGGGACCACGAACGCCCGGTGCTTATAAAGACCCGCTCCTGGCAGACAAAAACCCAACTTTACACCCGGCGACGGCCTGAGCCGAACGAGCAGAACACCCGCAGCCTCGGTCATTGATGTCGTTGCGGCCGATGCGGGCAGCAAGTCTTGTGGAAATGTTGAACCCCCCTCCCCGGACAAGGGCCGCTGCAGGGCCCTGGGGAGGCGGACAAGACCCACCCTCTCAAGCTCGGGTAGTTGTTCAGTGACGCTGAAGAGCAAACTCGCCTACGTCGAGGCTGTAGGTCAAACCTGCGTCGCAGCACCGTCTCCGTGACATGCGGAACTGCGGTGCAATGTATTTTCTCCGCCGCCGCAACTCATTAATTGATTAGCCCAGCTGGGAAGCGCGAAGCGCCAAGAATTGGCATGGCCTGCTCCGTACCACAAGATGTACGACCTACTGGGTTTGGACATTGATCTCTCAAACTCACGCTGTTTTCGGCTTGCGAGTCCGTCCGCTAGCGCATATACTAGCGGCATAGAGGCAAGCAAAAAAGCGAAAGCAGAGGGAGGGGAGAGAAGAGGAGGACGAGGAACAGAGAAGGTGTTGGTGCGCTAGCGCCAACAGCGAGGTCCATCGTCGGGCAATCTTGCGCACCAAGACCCTCCGCGTTCATCGAGGAGGGTCTCGGGCCATAGGCCTCTGGCGGCCAGTCGGGACGATTCGGGCAACCCGCAGAATGCTCTCGACGAGGCGCAGCTGCTGTAAAGCATCCCGAGGCGAGAGAGCCTCCAACAGCCGACGAAACCGTCCCAAAAGAGGGAGCCTGCGATACGAGATCTTGCTGTACGAAATCCTGGGGCACACTCCTCGTCGATGTTTGAAGGCGCCGAGGTGCCCCAGAGCTTCTGTGGGTCCCTGGGGCCATCAGGGGATAAGACAACTTCCATGTGGCACCTCCTGGCAGGCAGGCCGATGTCTCGCTTGACGTGCCTACTGTGATAGAGAAACAACAAGCGGCATAAACATACACGCCGGTCGGAAGAAGTGGGTTGAAACGTGAAGTAGGAAGGCGTTGGAAATAGATTGGGCTTCCACCCGCCCCCTGAAGAGGAGGAAAGAAACAAAACCGCTCGACTCTTGAAGTAGGAAGGCGCCTACAGTAGATGAGGATTTGGGCATCCAAGAATACCTACTTTCAACGACCGGCTTGTACACTTTCGACGGTCCAATTGGATTTGTGTGAGCGCCTGCTCCCTGGCGCGCGGAGCGCGCCAGGGGCGGCGCCGGAGGCGCCGCCAGCGGGCTCCAGCGCAGATCCAAGAAATCCGCGCGGACCGTCGAAAACTTATGTGTACACTCGGGCCGCTGAAACAAGGAACGCTCAATAATTGGGCAGGGACCAGCCGTCCCCGCACTCTTACAGACCTGGTACGAAATTCTTTTCGAACCTCCAAAATGCTTTAAGAATGAAAACAATGTGCTTAGAACATACACCCGATTTTTTCAAACAAAAAAAAAACTTTCGTGGGCCTATAGGCGAGCCAAGACGCTTCGCCACTGCTTGAACAAAGGAACGGGGCCCCTCTCAGACCCCAAAGAAGCTGCCCTTGTCCACTGGGAGGGCCAGAGGCACAACTGTGGAAGGACCGAAGGAACACCCAGCCCCGTCCGAACCCAAACCGTGTTGAGAGGATTGCTGGGAACACGTCCAGACATGATACGTAATCTTCGGAACAATGGACCACATGTTGTGGGATTTCGGCCCCTGGAGGCCGTCCCGGGCCGCCAGGACAATCGAAAAACGACTCAAAACAAAAACGGACTTGGGAGCCCGAAGCCAGAAAAAAACCCGAAGACCCATCCTCGAGGCTCGAGACCACGACGACGACGACGAGGCTGACGACGTCGACGACGCTGACGACGACGACGACGCCGACGCCGACGACCACGGCGGCGTCCTGGCCGTGTGCCGCCCTCGGTTTCCGATGCAGGGAGGACGGCGAGGAGGCGGAGGGCCGGCGCTGGGTCGGGCATGTCCTCCCACGGGCGGGCTTGGGAAGAAAAACTGGCACGGTCAAACCATCATCGAACAAAAACCAAAGATAGCCACAAGCCCTCTGGGCGTAGGCGGTCTGACGATATCTCTCTGCCCTCTTCCGGAAGCCCCTCTCCTCCTTCGGGGAGGGGCTTATCGCTGTTCCGTATTACTGAACACTCCCTCCCCCGCCTGGCCGGCAGCCAACCCGGAACCATGCGGCCCCCCCCGGCAACCCCTGTCAAAAAAATACAACATGCACATTGTGGGGCCCACCCTGCCAACATCCTCCACAATCCCTGACAACAAGCAATACGAAGTGCATATTGCAGCAACATCTGGACAGTGCGCTGGCGCCCTGTGAGCACGTTGTATTGTTTTTTTGGACAGGGATGGCGGGGCACCCTTAGTGAAGCCGCTTTGTGCAGGACCACCATCCGTGTCAAAAACAATGCAAAGTGTACGTTGCGACAACGTCGTCGGTTTTGTGCTGGCCACCCGCGATCACTTTGTATTGTTTTTTGACAGGGACGGCGGTGGTGTCCGCATGATGATGCTTGCTGTGCGCAGGCCCAGAACAATGCTGACGCCCCCCACATCAGCATCTGGACCATGCGGACGGGAGGGCATCACGTTTTTTACAATGATGGCACACCAACAGCATGTGGAGCCCGCGGCGAGCGTCGTGCACCTGGCATCCGCTTTGGCTCCCAGTGGCCGTCCATCCAGCGGCCACCCCTAGCTATGCCGAGACTCGGATGACACTTATGTGGTGGGAGGGCGGGTGGGAGTGAGCTAGACAGCTTGCGTGCGAAGAGGGTGTCTGACACCTCCCCCTACCCCCTCCCCTGGACCTGGACGGGGAGGGGCTGGAGGTGTCAGAGCGCCCAAGATGGCCCAAGGTGGCTCCAAGAGGGCCTCAGAGAGCCCAATATGGCCTCCAAGATCGCTCAAGATGGCCCAAGGTGGCTCCAAGAGGGCCTCAGAGAGCCCAATATGGCCTCCAAGATCGCTCAAGATAGCCCAACATGGCTCAATATAGCTAATAATATGCCTCCAAGAGGCCCCAAGAGGGCCACCAGTCGGATCCAGGTGCTTTTGGAGACCCCTCAGGACCTCCCCGAGAAGCCAACATCCTTCAAAGGCCTCAGGGAAATCAATGATTCCGATGCGCTTTTGAGGCCTCACGATGGCCCTAAGATGGCCCAAGAGAGCTCCAAGATGGACCCAAGAGGCCCCCAAGACGGCCCCAAGACCGCCCCAAGAGGCGATTCCGAGGGCTCTTTGTGGGGGGGCTACATATACGACCCCCCCCCCTTTTGATCGATGGCTTCCAAGATCGAAGAGAGTCATGAGAGAGCCCCAAGAAGGCCCCAAGAGGGCCCCAAGAGGCGCCCAGAAGGCCACACGAGGACTCCACGAGACTCCCAAGAGACCCCATACGAGGCCTCAAGAGGATCCCCGAGGTACCCAACTCTTCCTCCTTCTCCTCCTTCTCGTCCTCCTCTTCCTCGCCCTACACCACCTCCTCTCCTCCTCCTCTTCCTCCTCCTCCTCCGACGACGACGATTCCTCATCCATCCTTCCCCTTCTTGGGGTAAGTATATAACAGCTTCCCCGCCCTGTGTTCTTCTGCATGCTCCCCCACTTGCCTGATCACCTCCATTCCCCCATGGCATCGTTCCTGGATGGGTTATGGCGAGGATACTTTTTGGTCAGCGGCCACGAAGACAGTGGTCATGTGGCGATGGCAACGTCCGGGCCACGGGCGAGGCTAATTTGCAACCCTGGCGAGGGTACGCGAAGCGTCAGCAACAGTCGAAACATCGTCGCAGCACCATCTTTTTTACCACTTTGGCATCATGTTTTGGCATGGCAGTCCTCTAGATGGCTTTGACATACTATCCCTCCTGGCGTAAAATGCTGGCACAGTATCGGCGGTGGACAAACCTCCCTTTAGTAAACCTCCCTTTAGTGAAAACGGCCTAGGACTGAAACCGACGGACCTAGACCCGCAAAAATAACGGCCGCGACGCCCTCTCGCAAGCCCAAAACGGCCAATTCACTAATCGACGTGTCAGGGTAGGAGGCCTATCCGCCTCCGACAGTATTTTGGCACTTTTTACTACTTTGGCAGCGCACACTCCTCCTGCCGCGGGAGGACCTGCCCGAACCCCCAGGGGCCGGCGAAGGGGGCACAGGCCCGCCGGCTCGGGCACGAAGCGCGAGAAGGTCTCGATGGCGCGCGAGAGCCGGCAGAACGCGTCCTCTGCGCGAGCGCGCGTGCGCCCACGGCCACGGCGACGACCACGACGACGATGACGACCACGACCACGGCCACGACCACGACGCCGATGACGACCACGACCGCGATGACGACCACGACCACGACCACGACCACGACGCCGACGACGACGACGCCGCCGCCCGCCGACCGCCGCCGCCCACAGCCGCCGCCGCTGGCCGCCGACGTGATCGGCGTCGTCGTCGGCGGCGGCGTCGTGGTGGTCGTGGTAGTGGTGGTGGTCGTGGTCGTGGTCATCGTGGTCGAGGTCTTGGTCGTCGTCGCCGTCGTCTTCGTCGTCGTCTTCGACGTCGTCGTCTTGGCCGTCGTCGTCGTCGTCGTCGTCTGTCATGGTGGCGGCAGTGGTCGCCGTCGTCTTCGTCGTTGTCTTCGCTTCTGTCCTCGGAGGAGTCAAGATCGGAGGATGGCTAACGTTTTGACGTTGCGCGGACCTGCAGCACGGGCTTGTGGAGTTAATGCAAAAGAAAAGCAATCGCCGACTTAGGCGAGGAAATAAGCTAATTAGGCTAGTGGCGAACGCTGCGTCATCGGCTCACGCAGCTGTCTTTCCCAGCGCCACCCAGCGGCGCTGGTGGCACCACCGTGCCGATGAAAGACGCCCAACGGCGGGGCCGAAGCCATCTACATGCAGCAGATTTCGTCCTTCCCTCCCCGCTGCCAATCCTGAGGGGCCACGTAAGGGGGGACCAGCTCAGAGGGGGGAGCATCGAGCGCCTAGAATCGGTGACACATGGCCGATCGATCGGCGATCTGCCAGGGTAGGCCGGGAACTCGTTCCGGCTTCCGGCAGGAAGCCTTGGCGCGACTCGTCCGGCCTCGCAGCGTGTCTCGAGAGGCCTTTTCAAAGCGTTCCACAATACGCGTGCCCGGAAGCTCTCAAGAAGGTCCTTCGGAAGCTCTCTCCAGGAGCCTCCGAGCTCCCCCGACAGGCCTTCCAACGTCCTTCCGGCGCCCTGCTGCCCGGGTTTGGGATCCCACGAGTCGCCGATCGATCGGCGATCGGCCCCCGAGAACAAGTCCGCGCGCTCCTGTGCGCGGTGGGCTGTCGGTCGTGCCCCCATCGGCGATGGGTCGGCGACGGGGCATCGAGGCGCTCCCCCGTGCACCCATCCCCCCCTGACGTTGCCCCTACGAGCACCCGCTTCTCAAGGGGCCCAGGGACACAACTGAGTGCACCGAACCTCCAGGATCCCAATATCTTCCCGCATTTCTTCTGGGCTCTCGCCTTCTCCCCCGCTCCCCATGGATCCCCGCATTGGCCTGGGAGTCGCCGATGCAGTGTGTCCGTGTGTTCTTTTCCCTCCCGAGTCCGACCCGACCCTCGGCTACACGCAGGCGTGACCCTGGGTAAGAGTGACCTCTGGTGCGCGGCTGCTTGGGGGCCGCGGGGGGCACCAAACACAGGCGCGCAAGACGCTAAACATCGCATCGCGTTCGGCGATCGGGGGGCCCCACTGTCAGGCGTTGGCAGAACTGGTTTAGTGGAACCTGGTCTAGTGATTTGTACCGGGGGCGCCCCCCCGTCCCATTTCCACTAACCGGAACTGCCGTCACCCGAAAAACACCAGTTACGGCAAACCTGGTTTAGTGAATCTGGCCACTTGAGGGGCCCCAGGGCCCTACCACTAACCGGGTCCCCTTATCCGGGGTCCTGGCTATACCCGACACTGGGCCCGCACCGAAGGTCACTCCGGCGAAAGGTCCCTCTTACGTCTATGGTCGAGACCCGCGCCCCGGAGCGAGGAGCCGCCCGGCCCAGCCCGGCGGGTCCTGCAGCTCGCTGACGTCGCTGATCAGCGCGCGCCTGGGGGCCCGGCGCGCTCCGAAGGGGCGCGCCCAATGGGGGCACCCTCGGCGTGCGCGCCCCTCTGGGGGTAGCCCTGCTTCTCCGCTCCCCTGTGCTTCCTCCTCGGCTTCCTCCTCCTCCCTTCTGCTTCCTCCTCCTCCTCCTCCTCCTCCTCCTCCTCCTCATCATCATCATCATCATCATCATCATCATCATCATCATCATCATCATCCTCCACCTCCTCCTCCTCCTTCGCCTCCTCCCCCTCCGCCACCTCCTTCTCCTCCGGTGTCGAGGCGGAAACGGCTGCTGCCGTCCAAGCTCGCGCGCTGCGGGCAGTGCCCGCGCCGAGAGGTCCCAACTCGAGGCAGAAATCTGGATGCGGTGGCGCCGGCGCTGCTGCTTCTGCTGCTGGTGTCCCGACTGCCGAAGCTACTGACCCAGCGGCCACGATAGCTACCGCTGTCTGAGAAGAACAAAGCCAGGCACGACTACAACTACAACTACGTCGCCGGCTGCTGTTGCCGCTGCTGCCACTCTTCCTTGGCTTCTTCACGCCGTCTCCCAACCCATAAAAATTGCTTTCTGCCTCCACCCTGTGCTCCTTCCTAGTACCATGGCAGCGTTCGTCCTGCGGAGTAAAAGGGAGAGGGAGGGGAGGGAACAGGGAGGAGGGATCATGTGAAGGAAGAAAGAATAAAGGAGGCAAAGCAATGAAAGGGGGGCCCTCGGAAGTCCTCAGCGTCCACAGCTATGCGTGAACAGACGTCTGAAGGAAGATCTGGGAGTAGCAGAGACCCCCGACCTGTATATGCCAGGGGCTACCTGCAGCGCACCACCTGAAGGGCGGACGACTTGCTGATGTGCCTCCTCCCACCAGCCCTTTGGGCGAAGGAGGTCTAGCGAGTTCCTCCTTCTTCCAAACATAGAAAACAGACATCCAACCTCATTATAATCACCCCGACACGCGAAGCCGTTTAGTAAACGCACCCAAAGAAGGAATCGAACAGGGCAAGGCTGTTTGGTAAACGCCCAGGGCCGTTTAGTAAACGCTAATTATCGGGTCCAGGTTTCTTCCCCCCCCTTGAAAAAAACCCGCTTCCCTTTCGGTGAGGGGTACACTCTCCCTCCCCTCACTGAAGTTTTTTTGGGGCGGACCGCGATCGGTCAGGGCGTCCATGATGGCCCAAGAATATGGCTCCAAGAGGGCCTCCGATGCTCCGAGATGGCTTCCAAGGCGGCTCGAGATAGCCGAAGATGGCTCAAGATAGCTTCCGACATGGCTCCAAGAGGTACGGCGAGGTCCACAAGACGGCTTCAAGTTCTCTCGGAGGCCCCTGAGGACACCCCTCCAAAGAGGCCAACATCCTTCAAACACCGAATGGAGATCCACGATTTGTACCTTCTCGCCGTTTCGCTTCCAAGGTTGAGACCTCGAGATTGTCACAAGATGGCCCAAGAGACTCCCAACAAAGGCATCAGAGGTCACCGAAACGGCCCCAAGAGCGCCCAAGATCTGTCCAAGAACGTCCCAAGAACGCCTCAAGAAACGATGTTGATGGCCCAACGGGGGGGAGGGCAACTTAGGACCCCCCCGTTTGATCGATAGCCTCCAAGATGACCCCAAGAGGCCGTCCAGGGCTTCTAAGGGACCTCCAAAAGGGCCCGAAGAGGGCTCCAAGACACCCCACAAAAGCTCCAACAGGACCCCAAGATCTTCCAAAAAGTCCCAAGGGGGATCCAAGAGGCGATGTTGAGGGCCCTGTCCTCGTCTTAGCTGTCTTCCTCCTCCTCCTCCTCCTCCTCCTCCTCCTCCCCCTCCTCCTCCTACTCCTCCTGCTCCTCGTCCTCGTCCTCGTCGTTGCCCTCATCGGTTTCCTTTTCCTTTTTCTCCTCCTTGTCGTCGTGGTCATCGTCGTCTCCTTCTTCTTCCTGCTCCTCCTCTTCTTCCTCATTCCCTCGTCCCCACGCGGTCTCCAGGGATGGCCCGAAGAGGCCCTTCAAAGCCATCCCCTTACTCTCACAAATCTCTCCGTTCACTCTGGCTGCCCGCTCTGTTTCACTATGCGTATGTGTCTCCTCGTCGCCTTTCCCGTCAGCCCCCCTGGACACGGTTTCTGCACGGGCTGGTGGGGTACTTTTTGTTCGCGAGCGCAAACGGAAGGGCCGCGCGCCGTCCAAAGCTACAACTAACAAGCAGGAGCCTAAGTTGCACACGAGAGAGAGAGAGAGAGAGAGGAAAAAGAGAGACCGCAAGAGAACAGCGGGCGGTGAGACTAGCCGGGGCGGGCCGCGCAGCGCTCACGGGGCTGGCGGGGATACGTTTTGGTTCGCGGCTCCAAGGCGAGGGACATGGAGCGGGTACAACGTCCAGGGCGCGGTACGTAGATAATTGGCGCGAGACTGCCGCAGACTCCAGCGGACAACACACGCAGTGGCGCATGCACATGCCAGGGACAAAATGCCCCTCATTGAGACGCAATTCGGCGTCTGCTGGTGACCGGCCCAGACAGCCCGGCTGGTGGGGAAGCAAAAGGCGCGGCAACCTGCAACGGAACAGGGGGGAGAAGTCGCCCTTGCGGCGCCAAGCTCCAGCCGAACCGCAATCGGAATCGAGGCCAAGACGGACAGCAAGGCACTATAAAGGCCACGGGCAGAACGCGAGTCCGAGTGGGCAAAGACCAAGCGGAACCCACGTGTGTGCACACAGAGCCAGGCCGTCCAAAACCTCGGAAAAAAGGGGGTGAGCGCGAGCGAGAGCAACTAACTCAGACTCACTGTAGCTCCACGAGCATACGATGGTGCGGCGAGGGAGACCCGACTCACCAAGGCTCACTGAAGCTGAAGTGTGGCTGATCCGCGTCAGAGCGCCATCCAGTAGAGGCAGACCACTGGTGTGCGTTCACGACGCTGAGCAGCCTCCAGCCAATAGCCTGTGCGCTCACATCGTATCCGAGTCACGCTGCTCGGGGGCACGACGATGCAATGTACTGACAAGGGCTGGTGGCTGTGGCTGCGCCGAAAAGAGTGAAACGAACACGAACCGCAGGAGGCTGAACCACTCAATGCAGGGCCGCTCACTTTGACGAAGCCAATCACCATATGTATGGCGGACAGCCGCACCCACTCAACACCTGCCAGGCTGCCCGTGCAGAAGCCGAATACCTCCGACGCCGGGGCGAACCGATGGATGGCAGCTGCAGAGCTGCTGGGCGGCCGTACCGTTCGCTGGCGGCGTGCTGACGGCGGGCCAAGACGTCCTTGTAGTAGAACCATGGCCGGGTCGGCGACGAAGGAGAGTGTTCTGGGGCAGGTCTCAGGGCAAGGGGGGGCGCAGCCAAAAGCCGCTGGCGGGGATACGCGAAGCGTGAAAACATCTTCTCGCCCTCCGCACCCTGCTCTCGTCCTGCTGCTCACCACCCGCGCGGCCAGCGGTCGGTGCCGGCACGCCTGCCGCTCATCAGCCTGCCGACCTCGCTGCTCTCCTGCGCGAAGTCCAGCTTGCTGAGCCGCTGCATCAGCCTGACCAGCTGCCGCAGCGGCCGGGCCACCTCGCGCAGCGGCGGACGCGCGCGGTCCGCGAGAGGGGGGAGGGAGAGGAAGGAAGGGGCGGGACGAGGAAGAGGTGCAGGAAGAGAGTCGGGTTCCAGCAACAGCCGAGGAGGCCCACGAGTCCGAGGGGGCTGCCTGGTTCCACCCCCGTGAGGCGAGGGGAAAGCGGCCACGTGCACTTCCAGGGCAGAGCGCTTCAATCTCCACTCAGGAGGGGGATGTGACTGCGGAGCTGGCTCTGAGGGTGGATGGGGGAGGGCTGCAGGGTCACAACATGGGTCAACAGAAACCCACGGCAGGTCCCCCCAAAGACCACGAGATGCTCCAAAACGGGCGCGCAACCCACAGCGGCCCCACGGCCCATGGAGGGTCACCAGGGACACAAAGACACCCCTGGCCCCATGAGGGGTCGAAGAGGCCCCTGAGACGAGCGCGAACTACTCCAGGACTGGCAACGGCAAAAAAAAACAAAAACGGCCAGAAGGTCCTCGCAGCTCCAAGATCCAAGGAACCCCGAGATGACACCCCCCCAAAAGGTCGACTCGTAAAGTAGCTGCTCGCAAATGGCCTGGATCCGCCGCGGGGGATCGATCCATTACATCGATGCAAACATGCGTGTGTGTGTGTGTGTGTGCCCGCCGGTCTACTTTGAACAGGGACCGACCGTCCCAGCATTCCTATAGTCATACCACGAGATGTTCTTGGAACCCAAAAATGTTCCAATAACAAAACAATATTCTTAGAACGTAAGCCCGGTGTGTCAAAACAAGACAGCCCCAGCCAGAAATGTTCTAAGAACATTTCGTGGGAAACACAAAAGGTTCTCAGAACATTGCTTGGTGGGGCTACAGGCGAGCCGGGACGCCTCGCCACTGCTTGACCACTGGGCCCCCTTCCCCCGGGGGCCCCGCTGGGCCCCGGAGAGGCGCCGCGTGCCTGCCCTCCGACCCTACAGGTAGTGGGTCCTCGTCGCCACGGAAGGCTTTTAGAACAGCAGGGCACCGCCGCGGACACCACCGGCGTCCCTCGTCGCCGCGGCTGGACGTCGGTGCTCCAGTGCACCGGCCCACGCAGGTGAATCGCGCGCCGCTGCCCTGACGGGGCGGCGCCTGGCGTCCCGCTATGCGTCCTGCCGAGGCTGCGCTGACCCAGCCGCAGGGCAGCGCCGACGGGCATCGCGACTGGACCCCCCCTCTTCCACGGCTGCTTCGCCTCACCCCCCCGTCCATGTGGCGACGAACGCTGGCAGCTCGAGCGCCGAGGATTACCACAGCACCCCCCATGGCGGGGAGCGTGCCGCCCCTGCCCCAGGTGCCTCCTGCCACGACCCCCTCAATGCCAACGGAGCCCTGGCCGCCGCAATCACGGACATGCAGTGAACAGGCGGCGAACTCAATGCGGCCTGGGCAAGGTATGGCTCTCAGTGCCGTGGGGACATCAGGGGCCCCAGCCGACACGACGCCGCCTTCCTTCGCAGCTTCCTCCACCTCCTGGCCTCGTCGCCTCCCTGATTCTCTTGCGGCTGCACCGAGAGGCCGCAGCAGTCTCTCCGTGCGCCGAGGCGCTTCTGCTACGGAATGCGCCTCTGGCTGCAGGGAGGGCTCCTTAATCGACATTACACCTATTCGGTGTCCCCCTCGCTTTGCCTGGTTTTCAAGCCAACACGCGGTCCCCTCGGCAGTTCTGCCAGTGGGCCTGCTCGCTTGCTGCTCACATGCGGTACCTCTCCTTGGGTACCCTGGCCGCTCCCCCCTCTGCGCCTCGCAGGTGGGCCGCTCCCCCTCCCGCGCCTGGCCGGTGGGCCGCTCCCCCTTCCGCACAGGTGGGCCGCTCCCCCCTCCGCTGGCGGGCCGCTCGCCCTTCCGCCAAGGTGGGCCGCCCCCCCCTCCGCTGGCGGGCCGCTCCCCCTTCCGCCAAGGTGGGCCGCTCCCCCCCCCCCCCCGCACAAGCGCACAAGGCACTAGTGGGCCGCCCCCCTCCGCCAGGCGCCTCCCTCCGCGCCTCGCCGGCGGGCCGCTCCCCCTGTTGGTGGGCCGCTCCATTCCACACTAATGTGCCGCTCCCCCGCACCGGTGGGCCGCCCTCTCTTTGCAGGCGCTCCTGGCCTGTGCCTTGGCCGCCCCCCCCCCCTTCCGCGCCGCAGGACTGCTGGTCTCGGCGCTCTCCGCCCTGGCCGTCGACTGGGCGACCCTGGCTGCCTCTAACCTCGGTCCTCGCTTGCTTGCCTGGTTTCCAGGCAGGGCGCTGCCTCGCTGCTGTGGCGCCTTGCGCTGCCCCCCTTCCCCCGCGCCTCGCAGGCCCCCAGGTCTCGGTGCCCGCCCCCTCGCCGCTGGTGCCTCCAACGCCACGCCGCCCCCCTCCTTGGCGTGGCTCTGCCTCTTCGGCCATCGCCCTTCGCCTACAGGCCGGCCGGCGCTTGCCGCGCTCAGTGCGCCGCACTGGGCCTGCCGGCGCTCCGCCCTTCGCGCCTCCCGCCGCGCCTCGTAGGCCTCCAGGTCTCGGCGCTTCGGCCCACCCCTGGGCCCGCCTGCTCTGCCGGCTCCCCCATTGGCGTGGTCACCGCATCGCGTGTGCTGCTCCCCCACCTGGCTTTGCCCGGCCGCCGCTGGGCTGCCGTCCCCCCCCAGCTGCTGCCGGGCGCCGCAGCTGGTTCCCCCCCCGCGGCGCTCCCCCCCTGCCGCAGCAGGTGACTTGCCTGAGCGGGCCCGGCTTCCCCTCTTCCCGTCGCGCCAGGGTCTCCTCCTCTTCCCACGTGCTTCGCGGCCTGAATTTGCATCCATTGCGCGCCCCAGATGCCCGATCGCCGGAGCAGTCACCCTCTGCCCATCCGCCGACGCCAAAAGTATATATATATATATATATATATATATATGTGTGTGTGTGTGTGTGTGTGTGTGTGTGTGTGTGTCTGTGTGTCTGTGTGTGTGTCTTTGGACGCTTGCGAGCAGGCACTTTGCGAGTAATGGAGCGCACTCCGCTCGGTGACGGACGCCGCCCTGGCTCAATAGCCGTGAGGCCGTGCTGCCCGGAAGAGCTGGCTATCAACAACAGGAGGCCGTCTCTGCGAGGGCAGCCCCCCGAAGGCCAGGCCTACAACGACTGAGCACGAACGCTTCGGTGGCAACTCATAGGAGCGTTCCATACCATCTTGTCGGCTCTTGCGAATCGACGCTAATCGACGCTAGTCGACGCTAATCGACGCTAGTCGACGCTGTCATCGACTCCTAAGCGCTAATCGACGCGAATCGACGCTAAAGACGGAATTGAGAGGGTATACGAGGCTCCCATGATTTGCTTCCGAACGCACGCGTCGACCTGACTGCTGCTGCTCTCCTCTGCTCCTTGCAGCGCCGCTCAGGCGACGGAGGCAGCTTCGGCCGACCCCGCTAGCGGGGAGGCAAGGTCATGCTGCTGCAGGCGGAACGCCCGTCTACGAGGGCTTTTGTTTATACCCCCGCAAAACGAACCAATGACCCTCTGTGCAATAAATACTGTAAAAATGTACAACGGCAGGGATGCGTCTGTCACGGAATACCTCTTGGAAGTGGTGAACACGCCAAAGGGTTCGCCAGAAATTGCAATACGACCCAGGCGTTGTTGGATGTGAGAAGAAAGGAAGGAGGAGGGAGGACTGGTGGGGGACTGCCCCGGAAGTGTGCGAGCATGGCGCTGCGAGATGGACACTGCCGCTTACGGTCGAGCCTGTCTGGAGAGGACATGCGAGAGGACACAAGACCACTCCGAGGGCCACCTTGCCACAGGAATGCAGCAGGCAAGGGCCGCTAGACACAGGACACAAGCAGGGGGCCACATGCGAACCCCACCCTTCCCCTCAGAAATCGTGGGGGGTTATGGGTAGGGTTCGCAAGCGGCCCCCTAACAGGGGGGCCCCTGATCTGGCAGGGCAGACCTTCTCACCAAGCTCGACCCTACAGCGCCGCAGCGAATGCTGCAACCTTGACCCGCTGGTGCGCTCTCCGGCGCTGCGCGCCCCGGAGGGACCGGCTCCTCCGGCCAGGCTGCTGGCCCTTGCCCATGCCCCTGCCCTGCCAACCAGCACAGCTGCCTCCTGGCCCTGCTGGAGGTGGAGCCTATGCATTCGGTCCCTGCCGAGCTGAAAAAAAAGAAGCTAGGGGTGACTGGCTCAGGGGCGGAGACATCTACATGGAATCGGCGGCACATCGCCAACAGATCGGCGACAGGCCCCAGATAGCGAAACCGCATGCTCCTGGGCGGGGCTGGGCCATCGGGCCCCTATCGGCGACGAATGGGCGACTGGGGGTCGATGCGTACCCCCCCGAGCCTGTCCCCTCTGATGGTGCGCTCGATTGCAGTTGCCACTGTCATTGCCTGATTGCCGTTGCCCCTGACCGCCTGCGCTTACAGTGGAGGCCCGTCCACAAGAAAACGTCCACAAGAAATCTAACCCTGAGACCCCAGACCGTCCATTTGTTTTTGGTGTGGGAACGTCACGCTTTCCATGGCAAGACCATCGAAGCCCAAGAACTCCAGGGCACCCTGGAGGCAAGCAGGGTGTCTCTTGGCACGGACCCCCACGGTACCGAATTCAGGAAGCTGGCGTCTTGAGCCCAAAAAGCACCAAGATCCCTGCTGCTGGCCATCACTCGGACGTCCACTCCCTGTGCTTTTCTCTGTCTCGTGCGTGGCTTTTTTCGCAGGATGATCCAGGATGCTCCTTAATGATCCCCGCCGAGACAAAGTAGGAGGGGGAGGGGGAGGAGGGAGATGAGGAGGAGGAAGCGGAGGAGGAGGAGGAGGGGGAGGAGGAGGAAGCGGAGGAGGAGGAGGAGGAGGAGGAGGAGGAGGAGGAGGAGGAGGAGGAGGAGCAGGAGAGAGAAAGAGTGCACACGTCCGAGCGGTACCGAGGCCCGAGAAGGCCAGGGCCGTGCGCCCTGGCGCCTCTGCCGGGGCAGTGCCTCGCGCTCCTGCGGCCTGCCCGGCCGCCCCGCGCGCCGCGGCGCGGCCCCGCCGCTGCGCGGCGCCCGAGTTCCCCCCCCGGGGAGCACCATCGTCGTCAGGCAGAAGCCGACGCTCGTGCTCAGCACCGTCATCACCGCGAACACGATGCTGGCGAGGAGGCGCGTGTCGGCGTGCTTCTCCTCCCCCCGCACGCGCAGCGCGGAGCACACGGCACCACACAGACATCCCCGCATGCGCTCTCTCTCTCTCTCTCTCTCTCTCTCTCCCTCATTCTCTCTCTCTCTCTCATTCTCATCCTCTCTCATTATCATTCTCTCTCTCTCTCTCTCTCTCCTCTCCAGTCCTGTTCAAATAGATTATAGTATATGCTTGTTACGTCGTGCCTCTCTCATATTTCGTATCGCGTAGCTCTATCTCTCTCTCCCTCTCCTCTCCCCTTTCTCTCTGTCTTCCCCTGTGTACGCTAAGAACCCCCTCATTGACCACGATTCGGGTCATAGCGAGGTTGGGGTGGGTGGGAATGGTCGTAACTTTCGGTTTGCGGCTGGCTTTCCGTCGGAATGGCAATATATATATATATATACATATCCATATCTTTCTCTCTGTCTACGGGTCGATCGAACCATGTACCCGTCCTGCTAATTCGCGAATTATGTAGCTAACCCTGTGGCGGCCCTTCTCTGTGAGACACCTACCAAGCGAGCTACTGTGACTGTCTACGTAAGTGTTGCATCCATACTTGTATGTACATTTGGATTTCTATTTGGTTCCCCAACAACTACGAGACAACCCACGGCGCAACCCATCGAACCATCCACGCGACATCCACAGGACAACCCGCGGGACACCCTCATGATAATCAACGAAGCAATCCACGGGACAACCCATGGGGCAACCCACAGAACAACCACGGGACAACCCGACATAACCCACGCGACAAACGGGGAACGACCACGGGGGTAGGGGGGACCAGAACTTGCATGTCGATGTGCATGTGCATGTGCATGCAACTTGCATCAATCGCATCTCGATGTGTAGTTCGACTTGAATGTCAATTGCAAATGGCATTTCATGGTGGTTGCAATTGTACATGTATGCGCGTGCTCAGTTCGCCTTGCATTCGCGTTTGCATAAATGTATGCATTTCGATTCGATACCGGTTGCCAGTACAGTCAAATCTAAACTTGTATGCCGAGGCCAATTCGATGTACACTTCGATTCACATACCGATTGCAGCTTACACTGGACAATTCGATTCGTACTTCGATTTAGACTTCGATGCTGACTTGTTCCGAGTTGCCATTCAGTCGCAACTGGATGTTCGTGGCGATTTTAGCTTCGATGTGGTATTCGATTGTTAGTGGGATTGCAATTCGACTTGTTACTTTGATTTGCGCATCGAATTTCAATCGAATGTGCAAATGGGTATGCATGTAGACCTGCATGTGCGATTAAAAAGTATATTTGCAATTCGATGCCGATTTGAATTGCATTTCGATTGCATTCGTGCTTAACCACCGGTTCGTATTTCTCACGGGGCAACCACGGCACACACACACACAGGAGAACCACGGACAACCCACGGCACACTCCACTAGACAGCCGGGCGAAAACTAAGCGGCAACCCACGAGACAACCACGGGACAACCCACGGGACGACCCCGGGACAACCATGGGACAACCCAGGGGACCTCACGGGACCCCGCGAGACGCAAGGCAGACCTTCTCAGCCCGACTGGGAAACAGCTGTGGTCGACACATCATCGCCCTCGCACAACTTCGCCTCGCCCGCACGAGCGACACAGACCGATACCGTTTTTCTCGGTCGCCCGATTGGGGCAACTGCGCTCCCATCCCCCAGCCTCCAGTTTCCAGGGAGACCACCCGATGCCTGTTGTTGTTTCTGCTCCAGCCCTGCAGTGGAGTTGGGATAGCGACGACGACGACGACGACGACGACGGCGACGGCCACTGCTGGCGGCGGCCGCGGCGATGGCCACGACGACGACCGCGGCGGCGACGACGACGGCGGCGAAGGTGTGCCGCACCGCCCCCTGCAAGCAGTGGGGTTGGAATCTTGTTATGAGGCGCCTGGAACGCATCCGTTCAAAACGTCGAACTTTTCAAATGATCTGGCCGTGGAATCTGGGGAACTCTCGGCAATCGGGATGGGGTTCCCGGACGACTTCAACGGACCACTTCCAGGTCGGGGTCGTATGTGTCAACTGGTCCAAGGCCCGAACTGGCCCGTGACCCTGACTGAGAAAAGACTGTTCACCTCGACTCTGTCGCGACGAAGGATGTCAGCTCCTCCTCTGGCGACGACGGCCTCCTCGGCGCGCCGCGTTCCTGGATCAGGTGAGCCATCTTGTCGATTTCCACCTGTCCCTGCAGCTGCATGTCGCGCGCTGGAGAACCGCGCGCGCGGTTTCGGAATCAGATGCGGGCCGCGGGGAGGGGCACGTCGGCAGAGCAACGCTGCACCAACTCGTCGTCGTCGTTCTTCACCTCCTCCCCATCCATCCCGTCTGCTCTTCCCTCGTCCTTTTATGGTCTCGTCCGCCCTCGACTCTGTGGCCTCCAGACACATCCAGGTCCTCCTTGTGCGTCCGTTTGAGTTCAAACGCGGCAGCCGTCAGCAACACTTGCAAGGGGTATCCAGACATGTTGCCCAAACCGCGCTTGCACTCAAAGGTTCCCGTTCCTTTTCTTAGGAACTGGGCCTGCCCGTCGGTCTGGCGGTTATGTGGTCGCCGTTGCCGCCCCGTCGCCGCCTTGCCGCGGGCTCGTGTGCCGCCCTGGCGGCCAGCTTGTGGTCGCCTGTCGCCGCCACGACGCCGCTCGTCGCCGCCCGTCGCCGCCTCGTCGCCGCCGCCCTGTCCCCACATGACACTGCAAGCGTAACGCGTTGCGCTGCAATCGCGCCGCTCAGATCGCACCACTTGGATTGCACCTCGTAAGCTGCACTACGTAGCCACCACCCAATGGATCGGACCACATATATTGCACTGCGCAGCTTGCACCACATTGCTCACGTCACCTAGATGAGGACGTTGGGTCTGCATAGCTTGCACCACATGGGTTACGCCAAAATGTTCACACCACTTCAAAGTGCACTGCGTGCGTTGCGCTATTCGGATTTTGCAATACGAAACTTACACCACATAGATCGCACCACATAAGTTGCACCACGTGGATTGCACTACGTAGCCCACACCCTGTACATTTTCTTTTCCTAAAAAGAAAATAGACTCCCCCCCGGCACCAATTCTCGCATTTGGAATTAAAAATGGTTCTGCCCCATCGTACATCCTAAATGTGTGCCCAAGTCATCCCAGCCCAACCGGTATCGCCCCCCCCGCCATCCTCTGCCAAAACTACTATGCGTGAGCACTCGTTGATCACAAATCATAAATTGCCACAAATCCCTGGCACAAAATGAAACGAGCTGCACACGCGCGCGGCGTCGCGCGCGCACGCCGGAATCCTTCAAAAACCGTCGGTGTCGCAAAAATGTCAAGATCGTGTGTCCAAGCAATATATAAATTATCCTGGCGAAGGACCCAACCAGATGCAGTTGCGAGTACCGCAATTGTGGGTATCTTCTTCGATGGCGCTGTAGGGGTGTGCGGAAATCTGTGCGGTGGCCACGAAACGTGTGAGGGGTGTGCCGAAATCTGCGCGGTGGGCGCATGGGAGCGCAGCCACTGGGGCCTTCGCTGGAGCTCCCTATGGGGCCACGAAGCGTATGAGGGGTGTGCCGAAATGGGTGCGGTGGGCGCATGGGAGCGCAGCCACTGGGGCCTTCCGCTGGAGCTCCCTATGGGGCCACGAAACGTGTGAGGGGTGTGCCGAAATGGGTGCGGTGGGCGCATGGGAGCGCAGCCATGGAGCGCACACGCCTCGCATGCGCAATGGGGCCACGAAACGTGTGAGGGGTGTGCCGAAATGGGTGCGGTGGGCGCATGGGAGCGCAGCCACTGGGGCCTTCTGGAGCTCCCTATGGGGCCACGAAACGTGTGAGGGGTGTGCCGAAATGTGCGGTGGGCGCATGGGAGCGCAGCCACTGGGGCCTTCGGTGGAGCTCCCTATGGGGCCACGAAACGTGTGAGGGGTGTGCCGAAATGGGGCGGTGGGCGCATGGGAGCGCAGCCACTGGGGCCTTCGCTGGAGCTCCCTATGGGGCCACGAAACGTGTGAGGGGTGTGCCGAAATGGGTGCGGTGGGCGCATGGGAGCGCAGCCACTGGGGCCTTCGGTGGAGCTCCCTATGGGGCCACGAAACGTGTGAGGGGTGTGCCGAAATGGGTGCGGTGGGCGCATGGGAGCGCAGCCACTGGGGCCTTCGCTGGAGCTCCCTATGGGGCCACGAAACGTGTGAGGGGTGTGCCAAATCTGGGCGGTGGGCGCATGGGAGCGCAGCCACTGGGGCCTTCGGTGGAGCTCCCTATGGGGCCACGAAACGTGTGAGGGGTGTGCCGAAATCTGCGCGGTGGGCGCATGGGAGCGCAGCCACTGGGGCCTTCGCTGGAGCTCCCTACGGGGCCACGAAACGTATGAGGGGTGTGCCGAAATGGGTGCGGCGGGCGCATGGGAGCGCAGCCACTGGGGCCTTCGCTGGAGCTCCCTATGGGGCCACGAAACGTGTGAGGGGTGTGCCGAAATGGGTGCGGTGGGCGCAGGGGAGCGCAGCCACATGATGATGATGATGATGATGATGATGATGACGATGATGATGATGATGATAATGATGATGATGGTGATGATGATGATGATGGCAGGAGGGAGGGGGCAGCGGGAGGAGGAGTGAACGCGGGGCGCTGTTTCTTCAAAACGAGGACCCAACACCACAGGATGGTTTGGAAAAACACGCAGGGTTTCGCAACACTGATTTCCGAACACAAGGACTGTTAATTCGCCGGCCCAACGGGCCAGAGGCGTGCTAAGATCTCCGGTGACTGCTTTACAATCTTTCTACTTCGCGCGCGCGGGGCGGCCCCCGGGGGGCCCCCGGGCGGAAAATACCCCGGCAAGGTCCCGAGAGAGTCCCGGGAGGAGTCACCAGGGCGCTCCAGCAGCGCACCAACGCGGCTCCGAGACGTCCCCGAGAGCCCCAAGAAGGGCCAAGAGGCTTCCAAGAGGCCCCCAAGATGCTACATGAGGGGTCCGAGATGCCACAAGATCGCTCCAAGACGCCCACGATGGCCCCCAGACGCCCCAAGAGGCCTCCAAGAGCACTCCCGAGAGGGCCCCAAGAGGCAAAATTCACTGCTTTTCCTTAGGTTTTGGAGAGATTTTGGCGTTTCCACCTTTTCGGCTTCACGACACCCCAAGACGGCCCAAGAGGCCCCCAAGACCGCCCCAAGAGGGCCCAAGAGGCCCCCAAGAGGGCCCCAAGACGGCCCAAGAGGGCTCCAAGACGGCCCAAGAGGCCTCCAAGACGGCCCAAGAGGGCCCCAAGAACGCCCCAAGAGGGACCCCAGGGGGGGAACACGAAACAATATTTCGAGCCCTCGGCCCTCAGAAGTCCCCAGGAGGCCCCAAGAGGCCCCTAAGAGGCCCCAAGAGGCCCCCAACAGGCCCTCAGGAGGCCCCCAAGAGGCCCCCAAGCGGCCCCAGGAGGCCACCCAAATGCCCCCCCGAGCACGCAAGCAAGTGCCAGCGACGCTACACTATGGGCCGGCGGAATGAGCGAAGCGATTCAATAAGATAAGCTTGCGCGCGCGTTCTTGCGAATCCTTGAAGAAACCATGTTTTCTTCAACATGTTCGTAAAATGATACCAAAAGGCCGTCGCGCGCATGTCAAAATCGTCCGAACGCCCTTTCGCGCGTGACGTCGCGGGAATCCTTTGCAACACATGGAACGAAATGCGCGCGCGTCGTCGCGCGCGCGCGTGCCGGAATCCGTCAAAAAACCGCCGGTTGCGTAACAATCTCAAAACCGAGTGTCCAACAAACATGAAAAAAACCACATGGTTTTGCAACATCATTGTTCAAAAAAGCGTGCGCTCGCCCCCTTGCGAATTCTTCGGAAAACCATCGGTTTCTCAACATTTTCATGGGGCTTTGCCACATGAGCCTCCCGCGCCGCATGCCGACATCATTCGCACGCCCTTTGCGCGCGTGCTGGGGGGGGGCACGATCCGTGTCAAATCGTATTATGCGGGCCGCTCTCGCGCGTCGGCCGCGCGCGCATGTCGAACTCGTTCCAAAACCTTCACCACCGACGCGAGAACGCTGTCATCGTCGTCGGCGTGATCAGCATCCACGCCGTCACTGGCCGTGCCGTCGTCGCTGCCAACATCGTCACCAACATCGCTATTATCATCACCGTATTGACCGCCGTCGACGCTGCCATGATACCGCGCCCGCCCAAATCGCCGACTCGCGCTAAAGTGTGTCCGCTGGGGTGTTCTCAGCGGTCAGCGCCACCGCGGCTGCGTCGGTCGCGCCAAAGTAGCTGGCCGCTGCGCGCGCATGCGCGGGCTGTCGCGGCCGCAAGGATGCACCAGCGAGCCCGAGCACTCATCGCAATCGCCGCCGCATGGGGTTTGCAAACCAAGTTGCGGGTGGGTGGGTGGGATGTTTGCGCGAACAGTGGAGTGGGCAACTTCAAATTGAGCTTCGATCACACCACATAGCTTGCACCATGTAGATTGAATCACGCAGCTTGCACCACATAGCTTGCGCCACGTAGTTTGCACAGCATAAGTTGCATCACGTAGCTTGCACCAGGCATATTGCCCGACCTGCTATGACACGAACCACTGTTCGGCCCCCACGCTGACCAACATCGGCAAGGCTTCCAATGCAACCATGCGGTACCCCGAACACTTGGCAACTCTTCAACACCTTTTGCCGTGGAGAGAACGGGCGAGTGTAGATAAGTGTGGGCAAAAAGGCTTCGCGGAGTACAACATAATGGAGTCAAACGAACCAAGCAGAATCGTGCACAAGATGGGGGGGCGCGGGGCAGATTCCTGTGGCGTAAAGTACGCCAAAAGCTGCGATGCTGCCCGGATCATGCATCCATCCCGTCCACCCACCCAATCAAAGTCCACTGCATCTTCGCAACCTTTGCATCATTACGCCAGTCGTTCGTTCATACCAGAGACACTTCCCGCAGAGAGCAATACCCCGTCAGCGAAGCTAAAGCTGCCCCCCCAGGTAGTCAGTAGCACAAGATGCCACAGTGGATAATTAAGAGGGCGGGAGACGACCATGCGTAAGGAAGGCCAGCGCCGCTACAACAATTGATAAAGCCATCCTCGGCCCACGTGGTAGGTGCGAGACCGTCGTGATGGGAAAGGGGTGGGTGCTTGTACCCGCGAGCAAAGCTTTCCCCAGCGCGCTGGCTGACATCTAGGCCGCGCGTGGCTTGAGCCCGCACGACAACGACAAACTCTGT